GATTCCATAAGATCTTATATTATCTTATAATAAGATCTTGTATGATCATATCGTAAGACCTTATTACAAGATTTCACAAGAAAACATCAGATCTTGCAAGGTCTTACAAGACGTGTTTCACCTGGGTACACTTCACCTGGGCGTCGCTTCATCCGAGTATTGACTTTGCACTGTTTTTTCGAAGTTGGAAAAAAACACCACTCAAGAATTATTAACGCGAATATCAGATGACTGTAGTAATAATATTGACAACAGGAGTTGTACGATTAGTAAAGAATAAATTAAGGGAACTACACATGAAAAAATTGATTTTTTTAAGGAAACTTTTTTTGTAGATAAGCCTGTCATAGTGAAGAAATAAATGAGCGAAAAAACAAGAACATTACATTCGTCCATGGTACGAATTCCTGCGAACACAAGTTTCTAGATAACCTCTTGTTTATCACATGAAACTAATAGATAATCTGGAATTTTATTCAACTACGACCATTGATTTATTGATTTATTAAACAAAACTACTCCATAAAGAAACCATCCCAAGAAATGAATTAACAAAATATAAAGAATATATTTGTGATGAATGCGCTTACATCAACGATAAGCAAACACTTCTAATAAACAGAATGAAATGTTAAATAGTTCCGATAAATGTGCTGTTGTTAGTAACTCCAATTTAGTAATCGTATCAAGTAATATAGAATAAAAGTCTGTTTGTATTTATTCTTTTTTTTATAACGCATCAGAAATCTGCACAAACTTTTCAGTTGAAACTAGGTCTGATCCAACTTAATTAACTTAATTCTTCTTAAAGAATTTCTGGTTATGTCTCATCTTTTTCAGTTATTACAAAATCTTGCATTTTTAATGGTCAGTGCTTTCGTTGACAAACTAGAGTAAGTATGTTTCTAACACAACTCTAAAATTTACTTATCTTCTATAATTTATTTTATATGTTCTATTTATTCCACTAGTGGAAAATAAATCGAACAAAGCTAATATACACATGAATTAGAAATATGCGTAAGTCTGTAGAATCTCATGCACATTTCTTGAAAATTGAGCTGACTAAAAGGGAGGTTATGCATAATTTACCCAACGTCTTCCATAGTTTGAATACGATTCTTTCTGATTTGATTATGTACAATGCTTTCTTCGAGAACATGATGTGATTCGACAAATAGTGTGATTACTCGTTTAAAACGTTGCGCGATATAATCCTTCAAAATCAGTTTTTTATGAGTGTGATTAGGAAGATGAAAAAAGTGCTACAAACGAGGTTAGACCGCTGTTCTTGTTATATTACAAAAGAAAATTTGTGATCCAATCCAACGAAAAACGTTTTTGACTCAAGTCCAATCGGGTCACTTTGAAGCACTTACTCAATCTTCAAAAAAAAATTTCATTTTTATACAGCAACGTTCATATCTTGAAAAACTGTTTGATTGCTTAGTTGACTAACTTAGCTTTATCCACAGATTACACTTATATCTGGGTAAAAGTAAATGCCATTTACTATGGCTACAACAAATAGTTCAGTGCCGACAGTTGGCGCCACAACTGCTACAACAACAACAACTTCGATAACATCAGCTGGTGCACCTGGCGAAAGTATTCATCATCATACTCAAAGTGCATCAC